GTAAATCTCAAATTTATTTATTTTTTTTTTTACTTGAATAATGTAAAATCTAACGACGTATATACAATTTATTTCTTATAACACTTTATGCACACGATTGATGAAAAGATTATAGAATATAGGCGAGAGTGGAGCAACAATCAATTGCACACTACCATATCACGGTGCATTCTATGCGCTGTATGACACAATAGTATGGATGTGCAACATTGTGCGCCTAATCGAAAGTATCTCGAAACACCCGACGGATTTGATTCGACTAATTATCCCCTTCTGCTTGATCGCGTTTCACTCGCCTTTCATGCGACTCGGCGTTGCACCGGATCGACGTTTTGTAATCGAGCCGAGCCATTATTATTACGTGGCTGCTCTCGGGCCTTCACGGGGTCGTGAATAAAAGGTCCGCGGCCGCGCGACGAAGTGTGTTCCGTTTGTATCGCGGAACCTCTCCGCCGTCGTCGGATACCTTTACGGTGTTAGGGACCCGCGAGAAATTGCCACGGTAATACATCGGTATATACGTGCGTGAGTATTGCGTCAGGTCGTTGGCTTTCACTCTCTAACATGCCTCATAAAGCGTGCACGATATACACGCCAGAGTGGAAAGAGAGGTGTTCTCGGAATCGGCCTGAGAAACGGAAGGAACCACGTTTGCGCGATGTCAACCTCTCCGCGCGCGGACAAATAAAATTTCGCTACTTTTAATGAACGCATTGTTTCAACAAGCTGTCAGTTACCGAAACGACGATGACTCGCACGATTCATTCGGATTCTTTCCTCGTCGTGTGTAATTCCGGGGGAATGAGATTTATGACGAGATTATTCAACTGGGAAATCGTGGAAAAAAAAATACATATAAAAAGATACAATTACCTAAGAGGATTAAAATTTTGTCACGTATCACGTTTTTTGCCACTCGGCTCCCTCCCCGTTGTTGTTACACGAGTTACATTATCCCCATGTAATCGTAAACGCGCGCGGTTCCACCATCCATTATCACATACTTTAATCTCTTTAACCTTCGTTATCCGATTGCGTCGTCGACGGATAATGTTATCGTTCGCGCGTTAGCCGAGACGAGCGGATAGCGCAAGAACGCTTTGAGACACGCATTGGACGGAAAAGCGAGCACTCTATATGTATATATATATATATGTATATATATATATATGTATATATATATACACAATTACATACGACTAAAGTATGAAAGTGCTATCGAGAACAAGGTAATTCGGAAGATCCCACGTTACTGTAAAATGAAAATTACCGGAAAACCCGCGAGATCCCGTTCGTAATAAGTAAACTTTGAATACGCTTATCGGAAAGTTCGCGTTTTCTGCGACGCGCGGTGACGGTAAAAATCTGCGGCCTCTGTTATCCGCGATACTTTTCATCGTAACTATGTTCGCGCGCCTTTCTCGCGTCGCGCCGATTATATTTAAATATATACCGTACACGCATTCCCCCCCTCCCCCGCGTGCAACGCGTGCAGCTCGAAGCACTCGTGTGCGCCATTCACTCGGCGAGATACACTTCGTATATCCCATAACTTCGGCGCTACCACACGTGAGATATATACTTTATATATAATGCATATACTTATATTGTAATACCCTCTGTGTACGCATCGGGCCGACATTGATGATAAGTAAACCGGCGCCGAGATCCTCGATGGTCTAGCCCGCGAGGGACGCTCGAGGCAATACCGAATGATAAATATCGACGAGGGGCGATTCGAGGATCCGAGGGAGATCTCTTAGGAATCGCGACTCAGATTGATGCGCATCAGTAGTTATTATTGGCGGCGCTACCTCGGAGAAACTGATCGATCTGACCTACTGAGAGGGACGAGGTGGCGGAGGAGGCCTTCAGGGGCGCGACGTAATAGAACGCCTGGGGTTCTCTCTGCGACTCCAGCAGCTGGAGCCTGTGAGGTTGTTGCTGCTGCTGCTGGTGCTGCTGCTGCTGCTGGCGGCGTTGCTGCTGCGCGTAGAGATGCTGGGACTGCTGCAACAACTGCGCCTGCTGCTTCCTATAGAGTACCTCCTGGGGCTGGGCTATGGTCGGGGTGGGTGCCGATTGGGCCTGCTTATAGACCGGACGCTGGGCCTGCTGGTGGTACTGTTGCAGCTGCTGCAGACCGAGCAGGGACTGGGGCTGGGCTACGAACGGTTGGAGTTTGTGACTGAGGCTAAAGTCACCCACGGTTTGGGGCAGTGTCTGATAAAGCTGGGTATTGTACTGACCGGTCGCGGGATCGTACACGAGCTCCGATTGGTAGATGGGCTCAGCGGCTGCGGATGCGGCGGTGACCGATGTCTGACCGGTCAACTTAACTCTCGAGGTTTGGGGCGAGGCTTGGGCGCTCTGGGGCCTCGCGGCGGATACGTGCGAGCCGACCGTGTTCACGTAACGCTCGAGCTCTGCGGCAAAGTCGAGGTGGGGCGCACTAGCGGAGGTCGTGGTGCGCAACGGCGATATCGTGGGGTGGGTCTGGGCGTAGAGCAGACTGCCGGGACGTTCGGTGCTACTAGGGGAGACGTATTGCGCGGCTACTTGGGCGACGTGGGGTCGTGGGGTTATCGCAACCGACTGGGGCCTGGGATGGCGGGTCACCGGTCGGCGGGTGGTCGTCTCGAGCGACTGATAGACGTTCGAGGTGACTGTCGGCTGACTACGGAGGACGGGCGACGCGGTGGTCTGATATTGGGCTGCAGGGGTGGAAGCTAACCTAAAGAGAGACGGAGTGGGAGACGGCGAAGATTCGTAAATGGCGGTGGAGGGCGTGACCTGCACTATGGTCGTGGGTCTTCTGAAGGCTGACGGCCGCAGCTGCGGCTTGAGGTCGTCCTCGGTCAGTTCCTGGCTGGCATCGTCGTCGAGCTGATACTCGGACTGGAATATCGTGGTGGGCGCACGAGTAGTGGTCGGCTGATACGTCGGCCTCACAGGTCGAGGTACAGGCCTGACGACAGGATAATTCGCCCGTCCAGGAAGTTCCTCCTTTTCTTCCTCTTCCTCTTCCTCTTCTTCCTTGGGTGCGTTCGGATCGCAGGGGTTGCCCGAGACATAGGTGAACTCTCTCTTATTGCCGTCCGGATCGATGTAGCCGTATTTGCCGCGTACGACGCAGTCGGTGCCGCGGGTCTCCTCCTTGAAGGAACCGTCGGCCGCCTCGTAGCCGAAGGTGAAGGATCCGTCGTCGTTAACCTTATTGTAGTTCCTGATTGTCTGCACCGGCGGCGGCTTCGACCCGTGCAGCGCGTCCTTAGACCGTGGCGAAGGAAGCGCGCGGGTGCGCGGCTGATAAACCGCTACGGTGTCGAAATCGTCCTCGGCGGCCTGATTGTCCTCTTCCTCGTAGTACACTTGAGGCTCCGTCACGCGAGGCCGGATCTGCACTCGCCGCGCTTCCGTTAGGGCGAGCAGACACGCCGGGATTACCTGGCAATGAAGAAGAATTTACTATGGTAGACAACGCACGCTGTTTGCGATCGGTGCACGGGGATATGATCATTAACGTGTTGATACGACGTTACGCATGTTGCGCACGAAAGAAAGTGGCCGGTGCTCTTGTCGGATCGAAATTTTTAGAGAAGTTTCGCGAAGTGAAAACGGGAAGCGCGTATGTGTATATGATAGGCGTTTCCAGAGGAAATTGCAATTTGTAAATTTTTACGTTGGACTATAATCTAGATAACGTCGGCATGTAAAATACGTTCTGTTTTCTAAAATTTCTCAATTTATCACTAAAATAATATGAATATTTTTATATCTTATTAGTTTATACTTTCTACCTGCCCAAACATATACTTTTTTAAATTACAAATCCATTCAATTAAACTATTTAATTGCGGGTTTCTTTACAGAGAAATAAATTTACTCAGGACGAAAGAATTCGAGACCTCTGATACTTAACACATATAGGCATTCATGTGCGTCGAGAAACAACGGAAACTTAATAACACAGTTATCAGAGGCGTCAAGTAGAAATGTACGATACTTGTCAGACGCTCGCGATCTTTTACTCGCGGCGAAGGGGGGAGGTATGGTGGTTTTATCGCGTCACGCGAGAGGCGTAATCGAAATTGTTTGGAGCCACTCGAGGCGGAATGGATATCGGGGCCGGCTGGTTTCCAAGCGCGAAGCCGGATCCGCGTTACGGAGGTACGCGGGTTATAGTCAATAGGAAGCAGAAGATGGAGCGAGGAGAGAGCGAGTTTCGCGGATCGGTGAACGCTCGTGTGTGTGCGCGCGCGCGCGCAAGCGGTATGCGCGCAAAATTCCTTATCGCTCGCTCGAACGCGACCGAATGGTCTCGGCTGTTAAAGCGCGAGTAGCCCGAGAGCACGAGTGGTGTATACGACCGTGGTCGATGCCGTAAAAGGTTGGAGCCTGCTGAGATTACATCTGGATTTGCTCTGATTCCACGACTGTGTCTGTTGCGATAAATTCCATCTATACAACGTGAATTTTGCGACCGCGAATGCTTCAAATTCCTTTACGAATTACTAATCGGTTATCTGATCTTATGAATCACAAATCTGATCTTTATCCAGATACTTTATAAGGTAATATAATTGCTATTGTCTACTAATATCCAATTCTAGTATATGAGCAAAGATCACAAAGATACGTGCTTATAGTTAATAAAGGTGGAAATGAACGATGTAATACTTTGTAAATTGATTAAAAGAGATATATATACTGCGAGATTTACGTAAGAATGTCTCTTTCTTATCGCTCTACGCGATTATGAGTCATTATATCTTAACATTCTTTCGATATTTCCCAGTTGCGGGTATTCGTCATCTTGCGCGCGGAACACGAAAACGCTCACGCGTTTTTCTCGCGAAGCTAACCGCGCGCGTCCTCTGACAAAACGTGGTCTCGACTTCCGGTATAAGGCGGCTCTCGGTGGGAACCGCCCCGGCGCGCACACGTGTTACGTAATTTCTACTACTCGGCTGACCCGAATACGGGGCGAGGCAGGGAGCGCGCGCGGCCGGCGTGCCTACCGTGAGAGAGAAAGAGATTCAGATTCAGAGCGTCGTAACGTAACTCGGCGCGCATGTTTCGCCGTCGTTGTCGGCCGCGCCGCGCCGCACCGTCGGTCGGCCGCTTCTGGATCTCCTTGAACCAAGTCTCGAGAGCAAAACGCGCGCGCGCGCATAAAAGACAGGCGGCGGATAATAACCACACCTAGCGACGACCCACAGGAAACGCCGTGTACCTCTTGCTGAATACAATAATATAAAAGATAGGCGATGAAAAAAAAAGTCTATTATTCTTCAATCGCCAATGAACGTTGGGTCAATCGAAAGTGCCAGGAACGCAGGTCTAACGTTTTTATATAATGATGCGTGGAGAATTAATGAGCCTTTTACTTTCTCAGGCGTTCTGAGATTCGTATCTTCGACCGCTTCAATTAATGCTGCTAAATAATGCGTACATAATCAGCATCTTGCCTTTAAATTTTTATCGCCGCCGATAAAACGATCTTTGTTTTTACTGTCAGCACCGTTCACAGGGAATAATAAGAGAGAGAGAAAAAATATCTCCGGACGCGGATATACGAAGTAGCTATTAGATCCCGTGCGATAATGTTCGCTCCTTGAAATAGTTCCGTGTCGGTTGAACACCGATAAGATCGATTCGCTCGACTATTCGCGATGACCCGATCAGGAATATTCGACGATTGCGCATATTGGCACACGATCCGTCCTTGGGACGGGAAGGCACGTCTTGGGACTTTCGAGTCGATACGGTATGGCTGCAGCGTATTGCCTCTCTTACGGGCGTGAGCCGATTAATTTTCAAGTCTACACCCGCGATGATAAAATGCACGGCGCCTTTCTTCGGCGCCGATGACGACGACGACGCAGCAGCAGCAGCAGCGGCGCGTTTTGCCCGCTGACGAAACACTCGCCGGACTCAATTCGGCGCACACATGACAAATGGGACGGTGTGTCGCAAGCATGGTCGAGAAGTTATGCGAAAGTTGTCTCTCATAAATCTGATTGCTCAGCCGGAGAGCTCGCGAATTCAATTGCGAACGTTAAAGTTCGCAGGAACTCTGTAATGAGATGATTAGCTATTCAAAGTGGTGTACAAGCTCTCTGCATCCCACCTTCGTGTGTTTTCGTCACCTTCCGCGAACCAATCGGCTAAATCGGTGAAGCGAGGAGAGAGATCGGCGAAGAAGGAGATAATCGCGGGTATACGCAGAATTTCCATGAGCAGCGCGAAAACTCGTAACTTTCCGTCGCTACATCGTCGACGAAGCCTGCAGACGCCGCTGTCGCGCCGCTCTCGATTCTTCCGGGTTCGGGGATTTTCATACGCGCTCTCCCCTTCCCCCCCCCCTGCCCCCGATCGTTTAGAATCGAGATAAACCGTTCAATTTTCTCAACCGATTGAGGGGGAAACGAAATTGGCTGCGTATATACCCGCTTCTCTGAGCGCTCCCTGAAACTAGGAAAGGTCTTCGGTCGCGCGCGGCGGTATACAAACCGACTCGCGATTCTCGGGCCGCGAGCGCCGCGCGCGCGCAGCCGGGGTTCCGAACGAAATCGACGAGAAGACTTGCAACGTCGTCATTATCCTCGGCCACGGTATATATACGCGCTCCGCAACTGTCCGGACCATTGAAAGAGCGTGTACCAGGCTAATGACTCCTCCATCTGGTTCGGGTTAGAGGAGAATCGTGACGCCGAGGTAGGGCTCTGTAATCAACGGTTCTTGGCATGCCAGTCACATACAGTGAGAGGCGCACAACGGACACATTCGGTCCCGTGGCCCGATCCAGTTGGGCGCAATCGACCACGGCGCACCACGCCTCGTCTAATGTAAAGTGAGCCCCCGCGCGCGCGCGCGAAGCTGTCCGGAGAAAGGAAGAATCGTTGCGCGCCGCGCAAATCCGCGTTCGCCGCGCTCAAGTATACTTCTCGCGCCCGCGCGCGCATATACTCGTATCTTCGATCGCGATCATTTCCGCGACGTTTTTGCGGGCGACGCGAAACGTAAATTGTCTCCTTTTTATCCGAAGACATGAAGCACTCAATTAAAATCAATGAACCAAAAAAGGATTAGTAAAAAAAAATACTACTCTTTAATAGGGCTGGTGATTTGCTTCGAAGGCTTCGACATTCGAACTTCGAAGCTTCGGCATTAAAATCTTCAAATTCTTTCGAAGCTTCGAAGTTTCGAAATTTCGAAACTTTACTTTACTTTACTTTATTTTTTACGAAATTATTCTTAAAAAATTTGAAAGTATTATAACCTGAAATGTTACAAATTAATAATTAAATTGGATACATGTGTAAATAAAGAAAGATAATGATCAATAAAACAATCTAATTAAGGAAATTTAAATTTTTAATGTATTTTTCAAAACATTGAAACTTCGATGCTTCGAAGTTAATTTTAAACTTTGAAGTTTCGAAAGATCGAAGTTAACGTCAAAGCTTCGAATATTCGAGCAAAAAGAAACAGCCCTACTCTAATTGTAAATCTGAATCAGTGGATAATCACTGATTATCAATGATTATTCATTGAATGCATCAGTCCCAAGTATGTCACTGATAATCAGTGAAATTCAACTTCATTGTCTCTCGGAAATCACTAATAAATAAGTGACTAATGGCTATATGATCGTTGACAAATCAGTGGACTCGCTGTTCTCGCTAATTACACGGCGGATTCGACTCTGTTTTACTTATTAGCGATGCAAGGCGTTACTGACTCAATCAGTGACTTTTCCAGATTTAGAGAGAATTCAGATTTACAGAGATTAAAGAAAGAGACAAGATACTAACTGTAACTAGTTGCTGATAAGGTTTTAAAAATAGTGTGCGCACTATTAAGGATTCTTGACACAACATTCAATTTAGTCTCACGATTTTACGAAGGAAACAATCTTCAATATATTATGTAACAGCGAAATAATTATTTGCCGTCGAGATCCACAATCGCTCAATTTTACGCCGAAGTACAAGTCCGATGGCGGGAGACGATTAATAAGCAATATCCACTTTACTCGACCAGCCGTGGGTTTTTAGAGGATGAAAGAGCCTCGGTACCGCCGCGTGGGATCAATCATGTGCAAGCGGGGAGAGCCAATTACCGATCTACGATTAGCGGCGGTCTCGTAACGCGAGCGCGCTGTTTGTACGCCGATATATACATATACATATACGTTTTACGTAAAAAATCGGAGGAAGTCGTTGAAAGCGAGAGCTCGCTCGCTCGCGGGAAATGTTGGTATATATATATATAATACTTGTAATAGCGGTCCCGGTCGAGCTAAATAGATAAATGTAACAGCAAGAACGCGCGGTGCGCGCGCGGCATCTAAGGAGCAGGATAACAAGTGGTACCTTTCACGGTGAAGGTGACGCGTTCGGTTTCGAGAGAAAAAGAGAGATAAGACTCGCGACGACCGG